GATGGAGATGAGATGTGAGGAGGAAATTCTTGGCCATGAGGGCGGTGATCCCCTGGGGCAGGTCGCCCCGAGAAGCTGTGGCTGCCCCATCCCTGGAGGTGTTCAAGGCCAGGTTGGACGGGGCTCGGAGCAACCTGGGCTGGGGGGAGGTGGCCCTGCCCAGGGCAGGGGGGGACTCGATGGCCTTTGAAGGTCCCTTCCCACCCAAACCATTCTGTGATTCTATGCCTGCCTGCAGGGAGGCCCTTCCTGGTTCCACACGGTGTGGACGACATGGTCGGGGGCAAGCGGAAGAGGAAGGGACCGAGGAAGCTCCAGGACTTCATGAAATGGTTCTCTGCAGCCTGTGAGTATCATGGCTGTGGCATTCCCAGAGGATCTGGCCAAGCTCGTAGCGGGAGCCTTCTCTGTCAGGACACACCTTACCCAATCCCTTCCTCTGTGGGTACTCCTGTCCTGTCCGGCCCTGTTCAGCAGTGGCTCTGATCCTGCCGGTGTCTCTGCTTTGGTCTTGGTGTTTCTGGAGCTGCCCAGGTAGCTCCATCCCATTCACCCAGTGGGATGTGAATCGCATTTGTTGCTCCAGGATCTCCTCACCCAGGCTTGTCCCTTAACCAAAGCTCTGAGCGGAAAGGGGCGAGTTATCCGAGACAGAAGCAGCTGGCTGGAGCTCTCTGCCTTGGCAGGGAGTTAAACAGGACGTGTTTACAGCAAACACGGAGAGAGTGTCAAGTAATAGCAGTCGGAATATAACGGCAGGTGGGCTGTACTGCGAGGGGTGGCTGCGGGGAGGAGGAGAGGTCCATGCAGGAGTCCCCCCGCTCCCATACTGCCAAGGTGGCCTTGTGCCATGGTGCCCCTCGCTCCCGCTCCAAAGGGAGCAGGCTGCCTTAGAGCCGGGGAGCTGCTGGAACTGGAGCTGGTGGTGGCTGTCCCGGGAACGGCCAGCCCACCTCTGGGGGAAGGAGGTGGCTCTGGAGGTGACAACTGGCTTGTTGCGTGCTGTGAGGGCAGCAGACGGGGTCAGTGGTGCTGTCGGTGGGGGGCTGCCTGCTGCCGCCAGCCCTCGCCCGCCTGCTCTCCCTGATGGCATCCCCGGGGGCACTCAGGGGGGCGGCACCT